AAAGATCAAACTGCTTTGTATTTCCCAGAGATGCAATGCTAGTAGCTGTTAATTACTAATATAGAATTGCGCAGGCTCAGTGCATAAATGACTGTTTAAGATGAATATTCCATCTCTGTCACCACTGATGTACAATATAACTGTACCCGTGGACAGTAAAGGCAGGCTAATCAACTCCAGGACCTGTTACTGAACAGAACTAAAGCAACACTGAGCAAGTAAACAAGTGAATACATAATAAAATAGTATCACAATACTATATGGATTTATAGCAAAGCAGATAATAGGAAACATCACCACCTACTGATCAGGAGATACAGTCAGTACATTTTTAGGGTTTCATGGGATATTCTCATTTTTAAAGTTAAGCCTATTTATAAAGTGGTTCAGTGTAATCTATCTGTTTCATACTTACATATTTGACAACTATGTTAAATTAATAGAGCAGTATAATTATTGAAGATAGAAGATCTCACCTATTCCAAAGACTGCATGATTTTTGTTTTGTTTTTATTGTTTATTATTGTCAGTACAGGGGAGCTGGAAATTAAATTCTTAAAGGTGGCATCATTATTTTTTTCACTACATTTCACAATTTGTTGATTGTTCAATAAATAATTTACACAGCAGATATTACTTTTCCTAAAACTGAACTTCAAGTAGCTATATAAGAGCAGAAAATGAATGTGACTCTGTATTAATTAAAACATAATCAAATACATGTTTTAAATGCAAGCAGTGTAAGTACCTAAACTTGAATTGGTTTCAGCCATTTGCAATACCTTGTACAGCAGATCCCAGACTGGAAGTGAGAAAAGCAGCAAAAGGAGCCAGTCTGCTGTGCTCCAGTGTTCTCATGTGCTAACAAGGAGAATGGTGATATGAGGAGAGAGCAGGGTGATAGAGATGAGCACATTAGTCTGCTGCTTCTTTGTTCACAATTCAGTCATGGATTATTGGAGAAACAAGACCTCTAAGTGCTACTGAACTGCACCAAAGAAAAAAACAGGTTTCCTATCCTGCCAGACAGGGCTGTGCAAATCTCAGGACTAGATCGACAGAAATACAAATCATCTGGCAGGTAAAACAGCCCACATATATGTATTTCATCTGTGTATATAGATGTTTGCATGACGTTCAGCTTTAACACCATTTTATATAGGTGAAAAATATTCCACTTTGCAATATAACTGCAATGCGAGTCTTTTTACCTCGGAGGTACCGGGCAGAATAGCCAAGCCGAATGCTGCTTGGTCCCTATTTGGCTGACTGAAGGCCACCGAAGCATGCCGATGTATGGCTGATTTTAGCCAATGTACGGCTGAAATCAGCCGTACAATGCTGAAGTGAATAGCCGAACAGCTTCGGCTCACTTCACTTTGGCTCGGTAATTCGCTCGGCTGCTTTCGGCAGCTAAGTGAATAACCCCCTTACTTTTCCTCTGTCCTGTGCCCGCTGGCTCCATATTGCTGTGTGCCGTTTCCCCCGAACTTCTGGGGTAGGTGACGTGCAATGAGGACACAGTGATACCGGGAGCATGCACACAAGAGTGTCTCCGTGGGACACTGTCGAAGAAGGAGACACTCAAAACCCGAACATCGGCGCTAGGGCTGAGGGAACAACCTGAAAATATTTTTACATCAAGAGACATCACAGGAGGTAAGTTTTCTGCACCACACAAAAAAAAATGGAGGCTTTAATATCACTTTAACTATTTACTAAGTGCTAACTGACAAATCCATCTATCATTAGCTGCGGTGTTGTCGCTGAGATTTGTGAACCACAATCGCATGATGGGGAAACAATCTTTGGTTATGGAATGTCATCACTTATAATGCTTTAATATTTCTTATGAAATAATGCTCCATGGTGGGAATTTATCAAAAGTGAACCAATCAGCTTCTCTCTTCAGTTTGTTCAGTTAAGATTTGAAAATGAAAGAGAGAAGCTGATTGGTTGCCATGCACAGCAGCTCCAGATTTTGTCTGCTTCAGTTTTGATAAATTCCCCCCATGAGTTGACACGTTTTAAATCAAACAATGGGTGCACAGTTTTGGCTGTTATTCCTTTTTTGTTCCCTTGTGAGTTGACTTTGCTAAATAACGCAGCTGCATTCTCATTATCTGCGGTAACGTCAACATTTGTTTTGTAATCTTCCGAATTGTGGTCAGCTGACATCAGTCTTGTTTTGTCAAGACCCCTTTAGTTTTTTTTTAGAGAACAAGAGCTTTGATACTGGAATATGCAATGACAAAAGAAGTCTCATCAGCCTGTTTTAGAGTGTTTACATTAGTTTATAGCTATAACTCAAACACTGGCTGTTGTAATTTGAAATTTTAATTCAATTTAGGATATTTCAGACACCATAAGCAGTTTCCAACCCCCTGGGGAAAGTGATTTTCCTTTTGCTTGGGAAGTAAAGTGTGCAAAGGGAAATTACTTTCCCTAGGGGGTTGGAAAAAAGCAAATTGAATTTCAAATATGGCATGGAAAAGCACTGACAGCTTGTATGTTCCTAAAGTAACTTCTCTACTTGCTTAAGCAAGTAATCTGTGTTTTACAAGTAAACAGTATTAACATAAAGGATGAGCGGTCAATACTTTATATTAATGGCAACCAATGCAGCCGCAAAGATTTAGACTAGCCAAAATGAGGAGCATCTAGTTTTTCAAAAGGGAATGATCACACCCCCATACCTCTATTCAACCTACATACAGGAGTGTGGTGTTCTCCTATTACAGCTTATAAGGCAGTATTGTGTGACACCAAGTAGTACTATTGATCTCTACATCATCAGCTAATGCAATGGAAAGTCACACAAAAATCCCAATAGGCCTAGTCACTTTCAATACAGATACTAGTCTTCTGATGCACCAAATGTAAAGCAGCAATTTCACAATCCAGCATATTGGTGTGATATCAGCTTGTGTGTGATCATGTTCACTCTTATTTCCCACAGCGATTAAAAAGAATCAACACACAAAATACAGGTTTAGAGATGAACTTCACCCTGATTTACAATAAAGACACCTTTAAGATATCTGTATATTGCCACTTTAACTTTTGATTTTGCAATTGCTGTCTTTTTGATTTTCGATCACTCATGTCTTTATTACTCATTGATCTTCTGCTAGCAGCCATTTGTATTAAGTGCAGCTAAACTCCTAACAGCTTCCTTCCTATGAGGTGCAGCAAGATCTCCATTAAGTGCAGCCCCTAGCCTTGGGGCAAAGCAAGATGAAGAATAAAAAAAGATGCCCAAAACTCCTGGGGTATATGACCCTGAAATCCCAGGGTTCTGCAGGCAGTATAGGCTCCGTCATTCTTGCTTAGGCAAGAAAGACAGAAGAGGGAGAAAAATAGCATAAAAATGATATACTATTATGTTAAAGAAGGGAGTAATAATTAACATCAGAGAAAGATTAGAACGAGAGTGAAGGTCTGCTTTAAGTATGCTTCATAAAAACGGATGACTTATGTCGTCTTATACTTTCAAGTGCACATTTTTGCAGAAAGTTATTAACAAAAACATTAGCATATAATAGCAACAGTAGCCTACCAGTGACAACTTGCCGTTTATTCCTCGGTCTAACTATGGAATACATAGATTATGAGAAATGTGACATTTTATTTAACAAAACTCTAATCATACTTGGCAATAAAGATGTTAGGTAAACCACAACAACGCAAATAACAGTGAACTGCTTAAAACAATGACAAAGTGTAAAAACTCCTCTGCTAATACTGTGACATTTGCCTAAATAACACACAGTTTCATTAGGTGCTCTTTAATATCAGTGTCCATGTATTCAATCCACCGAAGAAAACTTTTGATTATCCACACCACCACTCAGTGATAGTGACGCGCCTGGACTAAAAGTCGATGAAACACCAAGTGATCTTGCTCACCTTTTATATATGACCCTCATTAAAATCCTTTAGTATGGTCTCATCAGCATTCCCTTCTTCCCTTCTTAAGAGGGATATAAATGTTTTTTCTCTGTAGAAGATGTTTGATCTTCTGGTCATGCACCTGGATTCGGTTCATCTCACATAGAGATAAAGATGGTACATAGCTTAATTCTGTATAACAATGAATATTTATTAAAAATAAAAACCTACTAGACCATAAACAAGAAATCCAGCAAACCAAAGTATATATCTTGATCTGAAATGCCTCAGTCTTGCGATGCTCTTTATGCACCAGCAATAACTCCAAAGCTGAGGTCAGTCTCTTTACACAGCTCTGACTGCTCTGCACTGCTTCTGGGTGTGACATCATAAAGGTTCCACTCAACGTGTTAAGTCTAATTGATTTAATTAGGAGTGTGAAGCATAAAAACTAAACACTGCTATTTGTACTATAGTGGCGTCCATATATCACCATGGTATCCACCAAATGTCAGTATTATCAGAGAAGTATTTGTAATACACTTTGTAATTGTTTTAAGTGCTGCACTATTATTTCTGTTTTGGGTATATGTTATTGTTCACAAGTGTGGAAAAAGTTTTATTTTACATTCATTAGTGCAGGATTTTTCCTAATAGAGTAAATCTAATCTGTGGCAATCTATGATCAGTAATCTGAGACCACTGTCCAGGCAGTAGAGGAAGAAAGGTCTTCTGAATATATGCATATGAACTGTTCCATCAATTCACAGGTAACATTTTGTCTTGGCTAAATATTTCCCGTAAGATATGATTTATATTTATTCTTAACATACACTGACTGTCAGCACTAAAGAAATAAATAGCAAACAGTTCCAAAACAAAAGAACGCAAGAATTTTGCTATTACATCAGGCTAGCACCATATCAAAATTAGAGCACTATTTCCTCCAGCTGCCTATGTTTAAAATATTTCTCCGATTTTAATTTTTCATGCTCTGGGATCATGAGAAGGTAGACGCTTACTAGACAGATTAAAGCAGATAAGTTTCTCCTTTTTTAATCTTGAGATTGATATTGCATTTTCATGCTCTAGTGGTTTTCATCACCTACCCTTGGCATGGTATTGTGTCCTGATCTATAAGCCCAGGCTCCTCCAGCTGTTGATATGCTGGTCCTGTAATCCCATTGAGGCGACCTCTGGGCAGAGGGGGAGTTCTCCGAAAGGCATTTCTTGTTGAAAGGTTCCTACACATCAAACACATTGGAATCACTTAATATCTTTCCAATTAACCATCTCACAACAAGATAAAAAAAGATACACTGAAATGAAATAGAATTGTTTTTTAGTAAATCTAAAGTCATGATACAGACCACATGCATTTACATTGAAGAACATTCTTAAAAGTAGTTTGAATTCTTGCTTAAAGTATAACTGTATTTTAGAAACACACATAATGCTGTGAATGAGAAAACAGGGAATACAGTGTCCTCCAATGATGCAGTGATGTAGATTGTAGTATATTTTGAAGGTGCTATATTTAGGACTTACTTTAATCTCATTTCTGAATATACAGTTTGTCTAAAAGAAGCACTGAGGAGTAGGGTTACAGACTAATTGGGTTTGAAAAACATAAATATTATTTATTATCTGTCAGGATAAAGTGCCTTAAAACTATCGCTTAACTTCCTTAGAGCTGCCATGGTAATATGAAGGGATGGGGCATAATATTGCAGAAGTGGATGTTAACATCTCTTCAAAAATACAGTCTGCTAAAACTGAAATAAATCCCTACATTCACTATTCAAGCCCATAACTGAACAGTTCCCTGTAGGAAGCTATCTATAGTGTCTGTGCCACCAAAGTACAATGGCTACTATATGAGAAACATGCATACAGGAGGATTTCTTGTTGCCATAGGCAACAAGATTTGTTGTTCTTATAGTCAAGGTTACACTAGATTATGTAAGGGGTCCTTCTATTACAATTCTGCTCCATTCATATTTTTGCACTGAGTACAAAAACAGTACTGTTAAGCTACCTTTTTCTATACATTCAGTTCTATATATAAAAAACAAGCTACAAGTTATTTGGTGCCCAAACATAAAGCAACAGTTAGTGCACTAGAATTAAGACACTGTTTGGAAATGCTATGGTACATGCATTAAAATACTTCGCTTATAATAATAAATTGTTAAAAAAGGGCATCTGATCAGTTTGATGCAGTCTAAAGAAAGGGGTTATTGCAGGGGTTAAGGCTGCAGTGGCGTCGCTACAGGGGGGAAAGGTTTTCACTTGCCCCCCCCGTGTGCCCCCCCGCCAGGGATCGGCAAGGTGTCCTTGCAGGGTCCGCCGCATTCATGTGCCCCCCTATATATTGTTCCTAGAGTTGCCACTGTAAGGCTGGTAACATGCAATGTATTCCCATGACACGATTTGAGCTGCTAAACTCTTAACAGGCATGACACATTGAGACTCTATGCCATTAGTCTGCCTCTCTAGGAAGAGGGAGAGATGGAGAGGTGCTGACATTACTTAAGGTTCTACCTCCAGTGTGCACTCTGAGCTGTGGTGGCACTGCAAGTGGTAGAACTAATGCCATTTAATAGTAGCTGGTTCCATTGCTTTAGTCCACATGATCTGTTACCGAGGTCAGAAGAAAACATCAAATTTATCCAGCATAAACAGTACCCTGTCTATGTTCTTTTGTTGTAAGCTTTTATTTTAGAAGGGCTCAGTAAGTTTATGTTTAATAATTGCTGGAATCTAAAGGAACCATGATTTTCCCTTGAAGGGATTTGTTATTCCTTATGTTAATACTTGTAAAAATTAATATAATCAACATTAAATATTAAATGTAACTAACATATTAGATTGTTTTAACAAACTGGGGTCCTGGGTGCTGTTTAAAAGCAGCGTAGAGACACCAGTTATTTGCCCCAGCTCAATTTTAAAATGTTTAACAGTGGGTTACTGCTCCTTTGGGTGTTCTGTGTATTATGACTATGTAAGCGGTAGAATGGGAAACTTTATATGGTCTTAACGTTAAAAATGTATGCACCCTTTTTTTTAATCCTGTGTGCGTCACAATGTTAAATTGAAAGCTGAATAAAGTTATCTTAAAGTAAAACAAATATGTTCACTTTGACTGTTACCATTGCTCTATGTTACACAAAACTTGCACTGATATCATTTTAATCAAAATACTTTGTAGATTATACTTTGTGGGAAATATATGGGGGACACAAATGGCAAAAATGTTGTAAAAATACAGAAAATGCATTTTGTCTAACTTTATACTATTTATTCCAAATAAAAAACAAAGATTAAAATGTATGCATCCAAATTCACTACCAAATTTAAAACCTTATCAGTACCAAAAAAGAATGTATAATATATTAGGGTGTGCCACAAAACCTAAAAGATATAGATGGTTATTCACTATGGAGCCAAAGGATACAGCCGTAGCTTCGGCTGATCCTTCGGCCGCCGGAGCCTTTTGGTTCAGTAAGGTCTATTCACAATAGCCCATACCGCAGCCGAGCCGAAAGCATATGCTTTGGCTCGACTGAGCCGAAGTGACAGCCAAAGCGTGGAGAAAGGTCAGACAAAGCCGACCGATCGCCATGTAAATGACAGCTGGGCAGGGCCAGCCGTGATCTCACGGCTCGCTCTGCCCAGTTGTAATGACAGATCAGCATCACCAAATGACCTGGGGATGATGATCTGTCATTAACCTCCTGCCGTCCACCCGTTAAGAAAAAACAGACGTACGGCAGACTCACACGGGCGGGTTGCCGTCATTAGACCGCTTTTTTTCTGCTCGCATGCGCCCCTTAACGCGCGCACGCATGGGCAGAAAAAATCCGCCCACTCTTTACAGCCGTTATCGGCTGTTTGATATACATATGATCGGCGGGTCTATAGCCTGCCGATCATATGTATGTCTTTGCGATGCTAATCTCCCTCCTTGCTGTGAATGCAGAAGTGATGTGTATTACATCACTTCCACATTCACCTGTCAGTCCTCTGGCTGCTATAGCCAGAGAGAAGAAGCTTCTTTTGGGGTCCCCAGATGACGTTAGGGGTCTTAGAGACCCTTAATGTCTCCATAAAGAGGACCTGTCAGTGTACCTGTGCTATCACGTAGGGAGCTTGTCATCCCCCTATGTGTTAGCAATAACAAGTATAAAAAAAATAACAAAAGTAAAAAAAATAACAAAAGTAAAAAAAAAATTAAAAGTCACATGTAAAAAGAAAAACTCCAAACTTTTTAAGTCCCCCACCCCCACATTTACACACACATAAACGTAAATACGCCTTCGATGCACCAGCGTGCGAAAATGACAATTGCGCTACACAGGTTACATATGGTCGCCAATGTTGGAGTGAGAGCAATAATTGTAGGACCATCAATCACTGATAACACTAAACTGATGAGTGGTAAAAGCTATTAAAGCATTGCCTATGGCCAATTTGGGTTATTGTAGTTTTTTTAGGTTTCACGCGCGCACATTTTTTATATTTTACCAAAAAATTGGGTAATAATAAATGTTTTATCATTTAATATAGGGGAAACAGTTTGTTTTTAAAATTTTCGGTAATTTTTGCTTTATATCTTAAAAAATAAAAACCCCAGTGGTGATTAAATACCACCAAAAGAAAGCTGTATATGTCCCCCAAAAATGGTATAAAATCTATTTCCGTACAGAGTTGCATGACGGAATAAATGTCAGTCAAAGTACCGCAGCGCTGAATACTGAAAAATTTCCTGGACAGGAAGGGGGTTTAACACCACGGACTTCAAGTGGTTAAACAATAACAAGTGGGTGGAGCTCGCTGTGATATTCTGGCCGGCTCCGCCCAGTTGTTATTCATTGGCTGGGACCTGCTAGTAGACTCTGGCATGTGCCAGCCAATAGGAAACAGTTGGGTGGAGCTAGCTGTCACTGCTAGCTACGCCCAATTGTTTTTTTTTTTTGAGCATGTAAATTTTTATTTGGTTATAATAAGAAATGAGGTCTTACATACAACCTGAATCACTCAGGGATACATAGTGGTTACATTGGTAAGAAAATTAGGTTACATTGTCGTAGGTACAGGAGCCTGGACCAAAAGACGATGCATATATCACAGGGTAAATTAGTAGAATAACATAGATTACAATCATCAATGCTCAACTGAGCAGAACTAACCAATAAACCGAGGTTATGTAGATATGTGTGGTTGTCGAGAAGACTGTTTGGGGGGGTATCTAGAGTATCTAGGGCTAGGACTTCTTTGCACAGTGGGATGTTATTATAGAGGGAAAAAATAAATTTTCTAAGAACACAAATGATCAATGCATTGAGAATATAAGCAGTATCATGGATTGCCTAATGTACGAGTCTACCAAGATTGAGCGACGGGGGTCATGTGTGAGATGGTTCCTGTGAGAACTAGTGTGCTAGGGGGGAATGTTAAAGGACATCTAGAGGCCCCAGGGAGCCACTTAGTTTTTCTGTTAAATACCATGTAGAGTGTTGGAAGATAGTCATAACCTCCTGTAATTGATGCATAGACAGTTCAGATACCAAAAAAGGTTTCCATGTGTGGAAGAATAATTCAGTGTGAGATTGATTAAATTTTGTATCTAATTTGTCAATTAGCATGAGATGGAGTAATCTAGACTTAAATGTGGAGAACGATGTAGGCAGGGCAGATATCCAGTTGGTCAGAATGGTTTTTTTAGCAGTTAGAATGCACAAGTGCTCCCATCTAGTGAGGCTAGGTGGTGTGTAAAGATCAGGCATCGGGGCATGGAAGAGACAAATTTCTGGGGAAAGTGCTCTAGAGCCGCCAGATTTTCTGTTCATATATGAAATAACTGATGTCCAGAAGAGTTGGATTTGAGGGCATAGCCACATCAGATGTGTAAGGTCGGGTAGGGAGAGATGGCATTTCGGACAGGATATCAACCAGCCCGGAGGTATGCTTTGTGGACTAACTTAAATTGTATCTCTCTCCATGACTCGTTGACAATCGCCGAACGTACCCCCCTCCATCCCTTTAGTATAAGTGACTGAGTAACCTCAGGAGTGTGGCCCAGGAAGGCGGCCCATTTGTGTACATAAGGGGGTATAGTGGAGGAGGAGGAAGAAGAGAATGAGTATAGGGACCTATATAGAGAGGACAGGGACATTTTCTGTGTAGGGGAGGACAGGAGTTGGCGAGAAGGAGTAAAGGCAGAGGCATTCCAGGGTAGAGA